TCTGACTTGATTTGTTTGAGAACGAAGGATTTTATCTACTTCATGAATGTAGGGATTTGAAAGCTAAATTCTTTTTGTTTAATTTATATAATTTCCTTAAAAAGTTAAAATCATAAATTACTGATCTAAAAACTTATGAACTCCCTGTAATTTTAAGTAATCCGTTACTTAAACGATTCACAATAGTACAAAAATACATATCATGGATGCTTGATGAAGGGTTTCGAATGTCCAAGTGACTTGAAGTGCTTGAAGTTTATATTTATGTTATATTTATATTTATATAATATATTTTTATATTTGTTTCCTGCATATTAGCTCCAAATCTTCTTTTCGTGCATTATCATTGCAGTTGGAACAGTTGGTTTCCACTTTTTGTATTTTATGAATATGCACTTCTGCCTGACACGATAGGATGTGGGTGTATGTGACCGTGAATATATGTTTGTGTCTGTTAGTTTAACTTTCCGTTTAATTAGGTTTAATATTTCAATATTCCCACACCTTATAGGGAAACTTAAATATTTCATAATTAGCATACATCCCCCCCCCCCATCCCCTTATTCTATCCATGTAATAATACGTTCTTCATCCCATTTTCATCTAACAGTTTATCCCATTTTCTCTATTTAATGCATCAATTCATTCCATTTTCATTTAACAATTTATCCCATTTTCTCTATTTAATGCATCAATTCATTCCATTTTCATTTAACAATTTATCCCATTTTCTCTATTTAATGTACCCATTCATCCTATTTTCATTAACAATTTATCCCATTTTCTATATTTAATGTACCCATTCATCCCATTTTCTCTATTTAATGTACCATTGATCCCATTTTCATTTAACAATTTTTACCATTTCCTTTATTTCCTCTGTACCCTTTATCCTGTTTTCTCTATCCTTGTACCCTTTATTCTGTTTTCTCTATCCCTGTACCCTTTATCCTNTCCCTGGCACTGAGGTTGACAATTCCCCCTATACACCCCAAATTTCCCTCTGTTTCCCTGAAATGTATCTTCCTCCTCACCCCTACACCTGTACATATGTCACGGAAGTCCATAAAGATTATTTGTCTGATAACACCTTGATTGAAACATGTTTATATCTCTTAAAGGGTGTTTTATAAAAAAATTCTTTAACATTTTTGCAGAGTCTGAAATTGGTGAAACAATATTATATCCAGCTGTTAAATCCATTATAAATTCGACATTTCATATTCTTATTTTGATTTGATACAAACATTGAGATAATACTTATAAGCAATCAGAATGTATTTACTATTCATATACGTACTTTTTATATTGTCACGCATATAACTTAATATTATCGAAATGAATCTTGGCAACCTAAAGGGTAAAGATATTTTTAGGTTTAGTTTCTTTGAGATTTATTTTAATGCAATAACCTACTAATGTATGAAAAGTACAAATTAAGAGAATATATGATTTTAACTGTTTTATACACTTCAGTACAAACACATATGAACATTAAACGGTTCATATGCACAATAACGACACAAGTATAATTCGGTAAAAGTTATTTTTATCAACGTGAAACTAAAGTTAAATACACTTCAGATTGATATCTGTTTGTTTTTAATCATAATTCCTTTTGTTGTGGACATAGAGAATAGAATATATATTAGAGGGGAATTTAGAGAATCTCTCGGTATGAATTTTTTCAGTCCCAAAGTGTACAAATCATGTACCATCACCCATCCTGCCCTATAGCTATATAGTTTGTTGTCTGCAACTAAACTGATAAACAAACTAAGGATGAAAGTAGAGTTAAAGTTCTTAGTCCACCCATCCTGCCCATAGCTATATAGTTTGTTGTCTTCAACTAAACTGATAAATAAACAAAGGATGAAAGTAGAGTTAAAGTTCTTGCTAAATTGTTGGAAAATTTTCTTATCTTTGCCTGACAATCACATTCCCCAACATAGGATATAGGCAGGGGGGGGGGGGTACTTGCTATCTTCACTAACTTAGAAAGGGAGAGGGGGGGGGGGAAGGCACGCTTATTTGAAAATAATTCCCACTTTAAAATGCAATTATACACAATTCAAACATGTAGGTCATAGGGATAATCATTTATTATTTATTTTGTAAACTTAAATTCAACGTTTTTTATTTTGAAAACTAAAGGTTCAATTACAGAATGTGTATTTCCCTATAACCAACGGTGATTTAAATGTCCGGATATTCTTTTAAATACATTTTTGTCTGTTTTAAGTTTGGCGTGTCATATCAAATTGTTAACATAGTATTTAGGAAATAAACCATATTTATGAAAAAGTCATGGAAAATGTTTAGAATAATTAAACTTTATTTTCTAGTTTAAGTTTAGTCCTGTCAAGCTAGGAATTAAAAATCAAGGTTCAGTCTTTAGAGACAGTTACATAACAAAGTGTAAAATAGTGTTTTCAACATTTGGATTATACAAATATAGATGAGAGTCATACAATAAGCTTTGCAAAAGAACTCCACAATTACCACAAACTCAAATTTTCGTATTCCTATATCTTTGCAACCTGATGTAAATATTTGATATTTCGATCTTTGACTCTTATATTCAGCAGATTTTTTAGTATAGATCAATGACATCAGGTTGCAAAGAAATAGCAATTGGAACACTTGAATTTATTTCGAGTGTTTGGTTCCTTTCTTGCATAACCCCTATTCCCTATTCCTTACATCTCTTTTACGAGAAATAAATCTTGAATGTTTATGCAAAAAAAGGCCTGCGTACATTTGGCGTCAAACGTGACTTCTTTGCAAAATAAACAATATTTCAGTATAATAATTCATCCCGACTGTAAACTATTTTTCTAAAACATTTCTAGATTTAGAAGTCATTGACCGTGGTAAAATGTACCTTTAAAAAATTCTTCTCTGCCTACAGCTGTCCTTGCTAACTGTTTAGTAAACTTTCTCAGAAGAACATGTTTCATTTTCCTAATTTAATGTTTGTTTTTAATTTAGTGGAAAAACAGATTTGCCCGGGTCACAAGACTTTCTCCTGTAGCAGGTTATATCATTTTTATTATTATTGTTGCTATTGCATAAAGATGATATTATTTTTCTAACTATTTTTTATCTAAAATAATAATTTAGAATGATCACTTCAAGTGCAGTTATTCTTTTTTATTACCATTTTTATCTAAATAACTGAGATAATTTTATTCTACAGTTCATTAAATATTTTAAATGTAAAAAATAAATTAGGTTTTCCTTTTTTTAAACATTTCTCCGTAAAATAAACTTTTTCCTTATTTAAAGATTGGAGTGTTTATAGGGAACTGTCAGCCTTATTTAACCCTTCATTTGGCATATTCGATTCACAACGGTACCCTTCAAACCTTCATTTTAGTAACAAGAGGAAGATACTTACCACATGCAGCCGTAGTACATTTGAATTTCCAAGCCGGGTCAACCTTTCCGGTCCCAGTTTGTACTGTATCGCCCGGACATTGGGTAAATAATGCAGAAACTCGATAGGACTAGCCGGTGCAACAAAGTTGACGCGGTCACACTTTAGGTTAAATTTACTTTTACTAAAGGGTCAGAGGTGCGTGTTACTATACTTATAATTTCTCCATTGTCTTTAAAGCCTAAATCCGCGAATAACTTTAAAAAATATATTTTTAAATAGAATTGAGGACATCTCATCCACCGTTCTATAATTGGAGGCTACTTGAAATAATAGTTTTTTCAATATTAATTTTTTTAGATTTTTTAACCCTGCAGCTCTGGCGGGATGGGAAAGAAGTTGAAAAACATGAATCTCCAACTAAGGTTTTTATTTTTCTTCATTTATTTTTCTCTTCTTTAATTTCCCGATTGAGTGACAGAAAGGGATATTAATTTTCAAGAATTAATTAGTATAACATGTCACTACTTAATTTCTTTCTTTCTTTCTTTCTTTCTTTCTTTCTTTCTTTCAACCCTTCGTGCATTAATTGTTTCTTCCCTTCTATCGTACTTTCATGCATTAAATTTTTCTTCCTTTCTTCCTTATACTTTAATCCCTTCATGCATTCATTCTTTCTTCCGTACTTTCATGCATTCATTTTCATCCTTTAATTCATCCTTTCTTTCCTGCTCATATACTTTCATGCATTCATTTTCATCCTCTTACTTTCATTTCTTACATTAAAGAAAAGTAAAAGAAATTCAGGAAAGCAGTAAAGTGAAAGTAAATTTTTCATTTTTTTTCATTTCTAGGGCATTTTCTCTATCTGGGTAGGTTTAGAATGTGCAGGGTAGTATATCTCTATCTGGGTAGGTTTAGAATGTGTAGGGTAGTATATCTCTATCTGGGTAGGTTTAGAATGTGTAGGGTAGTATATCTCTATCTGGGTAGGTTTTGAATGTGCAGGGTAGTATATCTCTATCTGTTTTGAATGTTTTGAATTTTCAGGGTAGTATATTTCAATCTGATTATCTGGTTCCAAATGTTTTGAATTTGTAGGGTAGTATATCTCTATCTAGGTATCTGGTTTCAAACGTTTTAAATTTTCAGGGTAGTATATCTCTATCTGGGTATTTGGTTTCAAATGTTTAGAATTTGCAGGGTAGTTTATCTCTATCCAGGTATCTGGTTTCAAACGTTTAAAATTTTCAGGATAGTGTATCTCTATCTGGGTATTTGGTTTCAAACGTTTTGAATTTTCAGGGTAGTATATCTCTATCTGGGTATCTGGGTGCAGAAACCTGCTTTAATCTGGACAAGGAGTCTAATACAATGGCTTTGATATTTCAGGTAAACCACATTATTCAAATATTTGTTATTTGTTTTTAGAAAAATGCCTTTTATTGTAATCAAAATATTTATGGTTTTGTTATACAGTTTTTTTTTAAATGAAAACTTTTTAGGATAATGTGATTATTATTGCTCTTCAGTCTAGAGAAATCCTCATCAAGTGGCAGGTATGGAAAATTTAGAAAATAGAATATTTATGAATATTTGACAGGAGGGAGGGGGTAGATAATCATGGACACAAGTTTTTTGGTCTTTTTAAAATGCTCCACAAAAATTTGGGAAGTTTTACAAATATTTTAATTGGTCATTCTAGAAGTTTACTTTTATTACATAATGGCAATAAAAACGGAAAAAGATATAACAAAACTTCAAAGTAAACCTTTCTAAAACTTTACTTTTTCTGTTGTGCCCTTTTAATCGACGAAAATTTGTAAAGGATTAATGAAAAAAAAATTCCTCCTTTTTAACAACCTTGACTCTTTAATTAGTCGAAATAAACATTAAAAAGTCCCCCCCCCCTATTATAAAAAAATAATATTTTTCATGATATAGGTTCGTTTGACCGGACAATTTGAGGAGGGTCAGCAGTATACAGTTCATCTAGTCTCGGCTCCCAAGGAAACAAAAAGATTTAATTTCTGAAGTTTTATTTGCAAAGTTGACAAGTTCTGCTGCTCTAATGAGACATTCTTTGATTAGATATTTGATAAGAAATTACACTGTTTATAACACAGGAACATCTAAAGACCTGGTTATTTTCAGTCTTTTACTCACAAAATAATCTGCTTTAACTTAGTAACTAATGTGTGATGTGTCGAAGAATCAATATTGTCGCATAATTCAAACGGTCCGCCTACATATGTTCATTGTGCAATTCTGAACATGTATTTTTCATTGATTCATCGAGAAATTGACAAATCTAAAAATAATCTTTTTAAAGATAATTTTTTTCGGCCATTTTTTCTTTTCAGTCATGTTTTAAATTTTACCGAATTTAGAGACGCTTTGTTTTTGACTTGAATATTTTTGTTGTTGTATAGAAGGGAAAACTGGGGACTGGGGGCCAGATGAAACTTCATCTCCAAAATAATAGATTTAGTCTGACTACTGGAATACCTCCTCATCTCATTCATACATGGAATATGATTGATCTAAGGTGATATTTTTTTTGTGTGGTAACTCCTATGACCCTATGGGTTCAGGAATGCTTTATGGCCGGTCCAGTTTAAAAAAAATAGCTGCAGAAAAATTTAGACTATTATAATTATGATTTTTTTTTGGAAATATCTCAAAAAATTTTCCTTCGTGTAATTTTTTTGTGCCAGCTTATTTTTTCTCTCTTTTCATTTCATACTTTCATTAATTTCAAAAATAAACTTATAAGCAACAATTTTATAAGTTTCTACCCTCAGTAGGAGTTTTTGTAATTTGTTTTCTTTACCTGAATCCTTCAGCTCCTAGTCAGCCCTCCTTCAGGTTTAATGTTTTAGTTTTAGCTTCACACTGAGCTGACCACGCTAATTATTTTATTCAGTCTTTCATTCATTCTTTCTTCCTTTCTTTCGTTCTTTCAATTGTTCTTTCTTTCTTTTTTTCTTTCTTTCTTTCTTTCTTTCTTTCTTTCTTTCTTTCTTTCTTTCTTTCTTTCTTTCTTTCTTTCTTTCTTTCTTTCTTTCTTTCTTTCTTTTCTTTCTTTCTTTCTTTCTTTATAGAAGAGTATCAAAATATTTGCTAAATAAATTATCTTCTTCGTTCTTCCACACTTATATACAAACATAAATAAACAAAGCAGTACATAAACAAACATTAGAAGTATATATATAATACATATTATACACAAATGCGAAGAATAATTAACTTTACTCTTACATCCTTTTTCTTTTTAAACAAAACTTTTGCTAAAAACTTTAAAAAATACAAATTAGAGATTAGTGAAATCCGTCTTTTGAGAAGTTTGTAACAAAGTGGCAAAGTCTTTGCCACAAACTCTAATTTTCTAATTCCTATATCCTTGCAACCCAATGTTGCAGACCTTCGATATTTCAAACTATGATTTCTGCTAAATTCAATATACGTTTCAATATAAGTTTGAAATATCAAAGGTTTACACCATCAGGTTGCAACGATTTATGGATTTGAACATTTGAGTTTGTGGCAATGACACAATTCCTTTGTTTCCTGGAAATGAGCAGTCCCTTTAATTTTTGTTTTTAAATATGTTTTATTGTTTAGGAGGTATGGAGGTGTGGATGGAGGAAGGTTTTGTATCGAGGGGGGTACCAGGTGTGGAAAAGGGGAGGGTCTTCATGTCTTCAGAGTTGATAATTCAGATGAAATGCAGGTATACAAAAAGTACAAAGTACAATACAGTAAAAATTAAACCTGAAAAGAGGTTTACCTTAATATTAACTTAGGTATGATTTGATTCTTGTGAATATCAACTCAAAACTTGTAAATTGTAATTGGAAAAAAGAATAATTGAAAATATTATTTTCAATATTTTAGGTAGCCTTTGACCTGGCTGGTAAGGGAAAGCTAGAGAACCGAAGGCAGAGACTGAATCCACAAACCTCATTATCATGTACGAAACTACGTAAAAACACAACCTACCACTCGATCCTTTTTTTTTGGGGGGGGGGGGTAGTAATTGAGGAAAGATTCAAACTGGAGTTTAACAAATGAATGAAATGATTTATTAGCCCCCAGCTGTCAACAAATCAATTGTTTTTTTTTTATTCATTCACTTCTCAGACACCCCGTTTTTTTCATTTTAATCCCAGGAAGTTTTAAAACTTAAAAATTCAAGAAAATTGTGATTTTAAATGTGGAGACCTACATACACATATGTTAGATACTGTGTCGTATATAACTGTAACAAGTCAGTTTTTGGCACGTGTAGTATAGTAGTGTAGTGTATAAGACATATTTAAAAAAGTTCCATCTTGTCTACAGACACAAAACTATCATTTATCAACAATAGAAGGCATATTTGTTGTATAATAGGAAAGGCGGACCTTAGATTAGCGGCGCCTATTGCAAAATTGTGCTTTTTTTGTGCAACTCTCATGCATTGAAATTTTCAGTATTTTTTGAAAATTTTTATTTTTTTGGTATTCCAATGGCCCAAAAATAAAATTCGCGAACCTTTTTTCTCTTAAAATCAAAAGTTCAGAAAAGCAAAAGTGTATATATAAATTATTTCAATCGAAATTAAAATTTTATAAAGATTGAATCACAGAATCACAGAAAATTCGCAAAATTGTAATGAGAAAATTTGCAAATTTCAGCTCTAGCCTAATTTTTAAGGAAAAGTTGTCTTTCGATGGCTCTCCAGGTTTCAACTGAACAGCGTATATTTAAAACTTTAGACAATACTAAGAAGTAAGGAACTAGATAATTTAAATAAATTTCCTTAAAAATTAGAAGTGCATAGTTTGCACAAAATTGTAAATGCAGATAATTTGCAGAGAACATGCATTGTTGCCCAAAAAGCCAATGATAATAGTTTAGATGTTTCTGCTGTTATTTTGTGTTTTTAAGACGTGTTTAAGATACATGGTTTTTTATCGGTAGTAAAATTTTATGTTTGGACCCCTATTCTTTTAAACATGGCACCAAAAAGAAAAACAAAAACTAGATTCTTGAGTTATTTCTGAATCAAGAAATTCTAAATCCAAGAAATGTTTTTGCGAGGGATGCATATTCTCCTAATGTCAATTTAAAAGGTAATCAGGCTTTAAAATCGCAAGCCCAGAGCTTACTTCACAACTCTGATAAATTGAAATTATAAAGATCTCATATTTTTGCCTGATAAAAAGTTAAATATGTACTCTCAGTAGTAGTGAGTTTGACATTTTTGGCGCATTTGTCTCTGGGCTAGGATATATGATTCACAGTTTTTTGTCTAATTCTTTAATAATCTCTGTTTGTTTAACCATCTAACTCTATATCTATTAAACTATCTGACTTTTTTATCTGTTAAACTATCTGACTCTTTATCAGTTCAACTATCTGACTCTTTTTCTGTCTCTTTATCTGTTTAACTATCTGACTCTTTATCTGTTTCACTATCTGACACAATCTGTCTAGCTATGACTATCTATCTGACTCTTTATCTGTTTAACTATGACTGACTTTTTATCTGTCTAATTATCTGACTAAATATCTAAGTTGCTGTCTCCTATCTGTCTATATTTACCTGCCTGCTCCAATATCTATATGCCATGTCCTTCTATACGTCTTCTTGTGTCTGCTACCTCTGTTTTTTTTTCATTGTCCTTATGCCTGCCTACTCTTTCATAGCAACAAACATTAAACATATGCTTTCTTTGCCCATCATTTTAAATAAACTGTTAAAACTGTTGATTTAATCAGAAACTAAATACTAAACATTAAACTTAATGCGCTAAATGCATCATTATATGATCTCATTCACTGCAATCTTACGTCTTACTTATCATTATGGGTATCATCCATAGGGAAAGGAAACGAAGAGGTAAAACTCCTATTAATTAATCAATAGAGTGGTCGGTTGTGTACATCACGATATGTGTACGTAAGAAAACTCTCTGTAAGGAGGAAATTCACGTAAAAAAATAAAAGACTTTAATGTTCACTTAATTCAACTGTTAAGTAGAATTAGTAGATTATTATAAGTATAATGAATAAGATTATGAACAGGTTCAGTGAGTTTTATTATTTTTCATGGCAATAAATCTCTATTTCTGAATTGTAGACTTTTAACTGTCATTTTAAAATTTACTTAATTTTTAGTATCACAGTCGCCATCGGTCAGTTCAAACCTTTCCACTGTGCATAGGTAATTTTTTATAATTAACGGGGTGGATAACAATCATAAATAATCTTACAGGATTTTTGAATGTGATTTCAGACTTTTTTACGAAATATGTTGGCTTGCTATAAAAATCATGAAAATTACTTAAATCTAAAAACTAGAATATTTTGTTAAGATCTGGAGACTCTGGTGAATCTGGGAGTTCTGGCAGTCCTCTTCTACACTTTGGGTCCGTTAGATCAAAGGAGGAGATACAGAGAAACAGGTAGATAGGTAGTTAGATAGATAGATAGATAGATAGATAGATATATAGATAGATAGATAGATAGATAGATAGATAGATAGATAGATAGAGTCCAGTCTAGATAATGGACTACACCTTGTATATTTCTAGGTCCAGATCTAGATCCAGGTCCATGAATACTAGTGGAGCTTGGTCCAGTCTAGATAATGGACAACACCTTGTATATTTCTAGGTCCAGATCTAGATCCAGGTCCATGAATACTAGTGGAGCTTGGTCCAGTCTAGATAATGGACTACACATTGTATATTTCTAGGTCCAGATCTAGATCCAGGTCCATGAATACTAGTGGAGCTTGGTCCAGTCTAGATAATGGACTAGCTCTCTCATCTCCGGATACTCTCTCTTTAACCCTCAGGAACCTTAATGAACCTTGTAAAAAAATGCTCGCCTTTTATGACTAAAAGTCGGCATTTTAGGCTTCATCTCCCGCCAGTAATCTGTTACGTCATATGAGGATTTTGAGTGTTAATTGCTATAAAGACGACATTTTTTAATACATTGGAGCGCATTCTGAAAATCTATCTAACCTTACTTTACAATTTTATATTGTATTTTGTAACCCCTTCAGTCCTCATATGGACTCGGAGCTGAGATGTAACCAGTATGAGCTCAATAGCTCGGAATAGGGATAGTTCCATTGATGTAACCCCTTCAGTGCTCATACGAACCCGGAGCTAAACTCAGATTGGATAGTTCTATTGATGTAACCCCTTCAGTCCTCATACGAATCCTGAGCTAAACTCATAGTGGTTAGTTCTATTGATGTAACCTCTTCAGGCCTCATGCGGACCCTGAGCTAAGCTCGGATTGCAAGTAGTCCGGCCTATAAACAAGACAACGTATATTAGCTAATTTGTATAAAGCTATTGGTCGGACATAAAGTGGAATACTTGCAACATAAGTTTTAATAAATTTTGGTTCACTCTTAATAATATTATTATCGTGAAATTATTAAAACTTGTTAATTAACATGCGTTAAAAACTCAATGTCGGCCTTGAAAATTTTTGAATTATAGATCAACATCATTAATATTCCACTAATTGACAATTGACACAATTATAATTTATACCCCTGACCTAATAAAATAAAGAATCATATAATGATTCAATTTTTCCTTTAATGGACAAGTGACTTTTAATTTAATTTTCCTTTTACAAATACTATTATATTAAGTTTATCAAAAACAGTTGATTTCAGATAATAAGCAACAAATAGCAAAAATAATTTTAGGAAAAAAGGTTTATTTTGAGTTAAATTTTAGTGATATGGATTCTGAAGCAAGAATGAGTAGTCCTGACCATCTAGTCAATAGAAAGACTATTCTGGACAGGATTGGGGGACTACAGGAGATATCAGGACATAGTCGTCATCATAACAGTTCAAGGTTAGTCTTACTTTATACAATAGTCCTTTTGACGAATATATGTGGAAATGAAAATAAAATGCCTGAATATAAGTTGAAATGATTCTTCTCCCCCCCCCCATGTTCCCCAATATCTCACCAGGATTAAAGAAACGTTTTTATTTCCTGAAATTTAAATAAACAGTGAATCCCTATACTATACACCTGCTAGGAGTGCACAGGGGCACATATTACATTAAAACTGTGTGCAGGGGGGGGGGGG